TAATGTAATGTAATGTAATGTAATGTATGTAATGTAATGTATGTATGTATGTATGTATGTGTATGTATGTATGTATGTATGTATGTATGTATGTATGTATGTATGTATGTATGTATGTATGTATGTATGTAATGTATGTATGTATGTATGTAATGTATGTATGTATGTATGTATGTATGTATGTATGTATGTATGTATGTATGTATGTATGTATGTATGTATGTATGTATGTATGTATGTATGTATGTATGTATGTATGTATGTATGTATGTATGTATGTATGTATGTATGTATGTATGTATGTATGTATGTATGTATGTATGTATGTATGTATGTATGTATGTATGTATGTATGTATGTATGTATGTATGTATGTATGTATGTATGTATGTATGTATGTATGTATGTATGTATGTATGTATGTATGTATGTATGTATGTATGTATGTATGTATGTATGTATGTATGTATGTATGTATGTATGTATGTATGTATGTATGTATGTATGTATGTATGTATGTATGTATGTATGTATGTATGTATGTATGTATGTATGTATGTATGTATGTATGTATGTATGTATGTAATGTAATGTAATGTAATGTAATGTAATGTAATGTAATGTAATGTAATGTAATGTAATGTAATGTAATGTATGTAATGTAATGTAATGTAATGTAATGTAATGTAATGTAATGTAATGTATGTATGTAATGTATGTATGTATGTATGTATGTATGTAATGTATGTATGTATGTATGTATGTATGTATGTATGTATGTATGTATGTATGTATGTATGTATGTATGTATGTATGTATGTATGTATGTATGTATGTATGTATGTATGTATGTATGTATGTATGTATGTATATATGCATGTATGCATGTATGTATGTAATGTATGTATGTATGTATGTATGTAATGTATGTATGTATGTATGTATGTATGTATGTATGTATGTATGTATGTAATGTAATGTAATGTAATGTAATGTATGTATGTATGTATGTAATGTAATGTAATGTAATGTAATGTAATGTAATGTAATGTATGTATGTATGTATGTATGTATGTATGTATGTATGTATGTATGTATGTATGTATGTATGTATGTATGTATGTAATGTATGTATGTATGTATGTATGTATGTATGTATGTATGTATGTATGTATGTATGTATGTATGCATGTCTGTATGTATGTATGTATGTATGTATGTATGTATGTATGTATGTATGTATGTATGTATGTATGTATGTATGTATGTATGTATGTATGTATGTATGTATGTATGTATGTATGTATGTATGTATGTATGTATGTATGTATGTATGTATGTATGTATGTATGTATGTATGTATGTATGTATGTATGTATGTATGTATGTATGTATGTATGTATGTATGTATGTATGTATGTATGTATGTATGTATGTATGTATGTATGTATGTATGTATGTATGTATGTATGTATGTAATGTATGTATGTATGTATGTATGTATGTATGTGTGTATGTATGTATGTTGTATGTATGTATGCATGTATGTATGTATGTACGTATGTATGTATGTCTGTAAGCATGCATGTATGTATGTATGCATGTATGTATGTATGCATGTATGCATGTATGTGAGTATGCAAGTAAGTAAGTAATTAATGTAATGCATGTAATGTATGTACGTATGTATGTATGTGTGCATGCATGCATGCATGCATGCATGCATGCATGCATGCTTACATACATGTATGCATGTATGTATGTATGTAATGTATGTATGTATGTATGTATCCTTGCACTTCCTCTTTGCTCCCCAGTATTTCCCGCAAAAAAAAACTCGGTTTTTCCAGCGTTTTCGCAAAGAGGACGTCCAAAATCATTGAGTTTTTCCAGATTTTCGGCAAAAGGATGCAGGAAGCCCAAGCCAGCAAAAAAGCCGGCAGGGGGAATCGAGCCTGGGACCCCTGTTTTGCGACACCGGCTCCCCGAAGACTACGTTTAGTGGAACGTCATCAAATTGCCGCGCGGTACGTGGGGGACCCCCCCCCCCCCAAAAAACCTACGTAATAGACGTCGGGCGGGGGGGGGTTAGGGGGGGGGTTATCCTCTATCCTCTAGTAAGTATCCGACACGCCGAGCAATGTCGGCGGATATATATATATATATATAATTATATACATATATATAAATACTATAGTGCAATATCGATATTGTGAAATACAGAGTTCATGCATGATAAACTGCGCCAAGTCAATTGCAATCAGACACATGTCAGCAGGCAGGTGTGCGCACGCGCAAAAACCATATCCACGCGCAAACCATGCACTCGCGTAACCACGAGCTCCCACGTGTAAAACAGGAACGACTGCGGGGCCACCCGGTTGTGTTTATCGTGCGAAACATGTATAAGCTTAATTGCGCGTGCAACGTTGCTATAATATAAACTGCGCACGTTCACGCTGTATCATGCACGCATGCATGCTAGCTGCGGTGAGGTTTCGCAATGTCCCATACATCGCCGGCCAAAATATATCGTTTGCTTGGGGGGACGGACACTTTTTTTTGCCCAATTGAAACGGACAAGGCACCCACGCCACGAAACCCTGACATTTTGACCAGCGGACAAAAAGGTCCCTGGGGACACTTTTTTGGAACGGACAGAACTCCTGGTTCATAAGCGCCACTGGGAGCAAGGCGAACGCGTGTTCAACACCGCAATCAAAATGCACTACGCCATCCACGGGGCTTCTGAGCAAGCACTGCAGTCCGAGGCTGTCCTGGTGCTACAGCGGAGAGGACCTCATGCAAAAGGCAAAGGTCGTGCTAGCTGCGTGCCGCTTGTCGCTCCGACTTGCATTTGCTTGTTTGCGTTTATTGCTCTGCGGTCGGCCGCCCTAGTTGCAGCCCAGGCTGCCGCGGCAACACGCCTGTTGGCGCAGTCAACAAGGCCATGCTGCGGTATGCTTTCGCCCTTGAGATGCAGATGACCAGACTAAGCGCGGGCTGCATGAGCTGAAAAAAAGCGCTTTAGGCGGCATCTCGCGGACAAGCTCGTGCATGCATTTGGTGCCGGCGCAGCATTTGCTTTTGCGTTTGCGTTGCTCACTTCGCCAGCTGAAACCCACAACGCGCGGCAACGGCAACGGCAATATTTGACGGCAACGGCAACGGCAACTTCCCCCGTTAAAAAATTAACTTTTCGCGGCAACGGCAACGGCAACGGTAACAACAACATGCCCACGGTACAAATTAACTTTCACGGTAGAAAATGTCTTGCCCCCGCAAATTGTCTTGATGGATTCGCTGGGTGGCCATTTGTGGGTGCAGCGAGGAATTCAAGGCGCGCTTTCTTTTATTATTTCTTTGCTGGTGGCAGCGTCTCTTGACGCGCCATGCAAGTCATATTAGCAGACTGCCGCTATGCATCGCCAAATTGCTGGCAGCCGGGCGTGCTTCGCTTTCAAAGGTCCTGCTGCATGGAAGCCGTGTCTGGCGCGCGCGAACGTGTCCGTGAAGAGATAGCTCCTGGGCGCGCAGCGCTGGGATGATTACTTTGTCGCTCGCGTCCGAGACCATCTCGCAAACGGCGGACGAGCTCCGTGAAGATTGAGGCAGCAGAAAAGGTGTTCGGCGTGCCGTACGAGCCTCTAGGCGTCCTTCACACGCAGATCTTCAGGCAGCGAGAGTAAGGTGTTGCTCTGCTTGAAGCTGAGCAGTGTCTGCCTGCGCTGCAGGCCACCACGCCACTGTCGCTCTGCGATGTCATGGGGCTGGTGGATGCACACAGCTGGCCTGCCGGCCAGCGTTCGGAGCGCGCTTCGGGTGCTGGCGCAACATGGAAGCACGTCGCGGCCGAGCTCTTGGCGGCATATCCCATCCTCGCCGCTGTTTGTGAAAAGGTGACACGCGATGTCATGCCACGAGAGACCGCTTCCCTGCTCAGAGTGCGGGACATCTCGGGCCTGCGCCAGGGCTTGAAGGTTGGAGGCTTGCCGGTCAACGCCGCGAGCGCCGCGACCTTCAGCATCTTCAGTACCATGATGCGCTGCAGGCGGCGTACGGGGCCGAGATTGTGCATCATCTCGGGTCGCGGATCTTGCGCGATGGCATGGTGCTGGACTGCTTCCAAGTCGAGCGCAAGAGCAGGCTGCTCAAAGCTTACGCCTCGCACTTGCGCTCGGGCCCGGGGTTCGAGCGCGGCATCTTTGCCCGCAGCTTTCCCGCATCCGCGCACATCGCGGTCGCTGCGCGGGAGGATGTGTTGCGCGGCGAATTTTGTGCGAAGACGATGCGAACAGTCTCGTGTCTCATCAGTTATATAGGAAACAAGACCTCTGCACGGCAGATCCCCGTGTCCCTGGTCTGCGGGCTACGCGTTGACGAGCGCATGGCAGCTGTGGTGGCGCCGCTCGAGCTCTTGTCCAAGTCCGCGACTTTCTCAACGTGGCGTCAGCGGAGAGATTCACCTGTGAAAGTGCATTGCTTGCAAGACGGCCTGCGCCGCGCTCTTGGGTGGCAGCGGCGCGGCGACATTGTCAAGATCATGACTGGGTAGACACTGGCAGAGACTCAGTGCAGCAAAGCATGGCTGTGTGGAAAAAGCCCAACTCGCTTTTTCAGCGCGTGCCTACATTTCTAAAAATCATTCAAAAAAAGCTAAGTTCACCTAAGTTCCCTAAGTTCCTTAAGTAACTTAGGCTAGAAGTTACTAGAACTTAGCGATAAGTTATCGAGGTTACACTAACATCTATCGTATCTTCCTTAAGTTGCTATAGAACTTGCGCTAAGTTGTATAGAGACTTGCGAAACTTACGTTGGATTACAAGTTCGGATATAGAAGTAATAAGTTGGGTTATAAGTAAGTCTCTATAAAACATAGCCTAACCCCTACACATGGTTCTCAAGTGCAAGCCCCTTCAGTTCTCAGATGTCAATTGTTGCGATTTGGCTGGTAGGCATGTAGTTCGATCAATCTATGGACCTCACTTTGTTCCGCTCAGGTTCCGTCAGCCCTGTGAGAAATATCAACGATCTCCCGGGCGATTGGGCTTCCGAGCGCTTCACCGTGGTGGATGTCGGGAATGGCGAGATTGCGCTGCAAGGGCTGGGGAAGCAATTCTTGCAACTTACTGATCAGAATATCTGGCACACTGCTCCCATTGATCACCTGCCTCCCACCTATGTGTGGGAGCGCTTCAAGGTGGTGCCAGGCGAGAGAAAGCTGGTGCCAGGCTCGGTGATCGCCTTGTGCCTCAGCGCTTAAGATGTATTTTGTGTTTTTTGGTTTTTTGAAATGCTCCACGTTTCTTACCTAAGAAGCTGGTTGGCGATGAGAAAGCCGGGTTTCACTTCACTGGGTGCTGGAGTGAAAGATGCTGGAGGGGTTTTTTGTTCTCGAAATCTGACTACCAGGTACAACACTCATTGGAAGAAGTTCTTGACCATGAACCGCGATCATGTGTCCACAAGCCCTGAGGTCCTCGAGATTGGAGAGGGCTGGACTTACGAGCGGTTTACGGTGGTAGATGTGAATGGCTGGCAGGTCGCCCTGCACAACCCCAGGCTTGGTTGAGCAATTGGCCCGACACTGAACTTTAGGGTGGTGTACGGTGTAAGGCCAGTTTGGAATGGATGGTTTGGGGTTTGTTGATTTCTTGAGATGGTCAGGCATAACAGGTTCATCAGCCTGTCAACCTCCATGGCAAGCTCGCACTGCAACGTGGACCAATTCAATCAAGCTTGGGAGTCCGCGAAATGGGAGGCTTGGCCCGCCGTGGATGGGCAGATCGGCTTGCACAATGCCCAGCACAACCGCTTTGCGAGTTTGCAAGGCGGCGGCGCTGGCGCCAGTGGGCACCCTCCTGGAAGGCCTTGGGACTCTCTCCCTTGGCTTTGGGAGCGCCTCCGCATCGTGCACCTCAAACCCTTCCTCGAGCCAGGCTCCGTGGTGGCCCTGCACAACGCGTATCACCGGCGCTTTGTAAGCATGCACCCTCACGACATGCACTTCAGCCCAGAGAAGGATGCCAACTTTGACATGCCAGACTGGTGGACCTTTGAGCGCTTCACCGTGGTGGACGCAGGGAATGGTCAGATTGCCCTGCACAACGCTCTCCACAACCGCTACGTGAAGATGGGCCCGAATGGAGATATGACCGTCAGCCCTGTCAGAAACCTCCACGATCCCTTCCCTCATGACTGGTTCTCGGAGCGCTTCACCGTCTTGTCTGCTCACGACATCTTCGACGGGGTGATCGGCTTGCACAACAGCGCGCACGGCCGCATGCTGCGCATGACAGCCCTCGGGGTGGATTCGCACCCCGTCGCTCCCCAGGACTTCACCTCCGGCTTTTTCCAGGAAAGCTTCCGCATCGTGCTGGTCGGGGCGGGCAACCAGGGTAGCTTACCAGTTGGGCTCGAACACGGAGGCTTTTCTTTTAAGTGAGCGCAGTTGTCAAACAACCTCTAGAAATGCCTTTCTGGTGCTGCTCCCGGCAGAGTTATTCTGAAGATGCCAAAACCGATCGCGACAAAAAGGGACGGATCGCGTGTCAGCCCATGCGTTGTGTCAACACCCCCAGCGCTTTCTGCGATTTGCCTCCTGCTGGTTTGTTCGTGTCGTTGAAGCAGGGTGCGCGAGGTTTTTCTCACCGCTGGGTTTGGCTGGAATCTGCGGCCATCAACGTTTGGAAGGCAACGCTTGTCATCAACTTCTGTTGTTTGGGTTAGACCTGGTCACCCTTGCTTGTTTGGATCGTTTCGGGGAGTGGAACCGTTTCAGAGTTAAGATTACCAAAGCCATCAACCACCAGGCGAAGGAAGCCATAGGAAGTGGAATCTGGATTCACTTGGAAGTTTAGTCAGTTGTTCAACTGTGTAACGGTCAAACGATGTCAAACGCCGCCTTTATTTGGGTTGGTGGGGAGAATCGTGACTATGACCCACATATAGTTTTGCACCATGGCACACATGATGGTTGGCTTCATGTTGGTTTCCCTGTAATCACCAACCCGAGCGTTGCAAGATCCCTAACATTGGAAATTGACGCGGCGTGTGCCGTTGGCATCCGTATTTTGCAGCTTGACAACTTGGCCACAGGATTGTCTCGGCCGCCAAGAGAAAATATGCGATTGGAGATTGGAACTGAGCCTTTGTTCCACTAGAGTCACGCGAGCGCAAGGCCATGGCATTCTAGACTTCTAGGTTTTTCCAACACAATTCCGAGCGCGCAAGGCCATTTTTGGGGTCCACGCCCTGTCAAAAACAGGGTATCCAAGCGCCCAAGAGTAGAGGATGGATGGCTCGGCAAAAAAAAGGCGAAGGGTCACGAGAGAGCAAGGCGCCACAAGCAGCACATTCAGCAGCAACGAGGCGACAGGACACGGAGGCCGGTAGGAGCAGGACTGGGTACCCGGCTGACACTTCACGCCAGGGTCGCCAAGCCCAGCAAGCCCGCGACAAGGCCGAGTGACGTGGGAGAAAAGTACACCGGCTTTCTACTTCCGGCAGTTTGCAAAAAAGTAGGAGGTGAAAGGCAAGTGCCAAAAGGAAAACTTGCTTTTATTTCAGGCAGTTTTACTGTGTCGCTTTCCCCCTAGCAAAAGCTCGCAAGCATGCAAAAGTGCATGTATACATATGTAGTCATTTTGCGTATGTATATATATATATATGGGTTTGTCCTTTTTTGGTGTTTTGAGTTGCTTCAACCGGCAGAAGGTGCGACCTCCCCGAATCATACCCCCGAATCATACCCCCGAATCATACCCCGAATCATACCCCCGAATCATACCCCTTAAAACGTATGCTGCAAGATGCTACTGTTCTTCGACCGTTTTGTGTTGTTCACTGCCTCCACAACAACCACCACCAGCGCTATCCAATACTACCACTACCACCACTACTGCTACTACTACTGCTACTACCACTACTACTACTACTACTACTACTACTACTACTACTACTGCTACTGCTACTGCTACTGCTACTGCTACTGCTAGTACCGAGACTACGAGCATGAATGCCAGCATCACCGATACTACCGGAGCTACTAACACTGTACTGCTTCTACCTGTGCTTCTGCTACTCTTACTACTAACGACTACTACTACTACTACTGCTGCTGCTGCTGCTACTACTACTAGTACTACTACCATTACTACTACTAGTACTACTACTGCTACTACTTCCTTTACTACTACTACGACTTCTACCTTTACTACTACTTGTACTACTACTACTACTACTACTACTACTACGACTACAACCTTTATTACTACTACTACTACTACTACTACTACTACTACTACTACTACTACTATTACTACTACTACTACTACTACTACTACTACTACTACTACTACCTACTCGTACTACTACTTCTACTTCTACTACTACTATTCCTGCTGCTGCTGCTACTACTACTCACTACTACTACATACATCATTCTGAGTCTGCAATCAGTGCCGTTTTGCACCTAGCCGAATCATAATCGAGCCTGTGCCAGGAAGCCCATGGCCACGAGAGGCTCTTCGCGCCTTTTTTTTTGCCAGGAAAATAGTCGACTAATTCACGCACCGTGGGCCTTTCGGGGGGGGGGGGGGGGCTGGAATTGGACCAACCTCTAAAAACCCGCTTTCTTTGTAGAATACAACAAAGCACATGCGGGTTTTTGGAGAACCACCTACCATTTTTCGTGGTTTTGGGTGCCCCTGTCTATTGGTAGGGCGTTTGGTGTTGTGGTTTCATGACGCCAGATACCCTCTATCCATCAATCATGGAAGCGGACAAGGCCCCAAAAGGGAAAAGAGTCTTCCAAAACCCTCCTGTTTGCTTCCATGATTGTTGGAGAGAGGGTAATATTTGCCTTCAACAGATGAGCAGTTCGTGTTTGTGTTTTGAGGTTTTGGACAAGAGAGGCAGGAGCCTGAACATGAAGTCAGAGTCTGACCAGGGCAAGTGAGGTACGGTGAGTCGTTCGCTGACGGAGGTTGTGGTTTGGATTGGAAACTGACTATGACAGGCCCACCGCAGGAGATGGTCGCTAACAGTGCCGCTTTTCCTGGGGAAGCAAGACATCCATGCAAGCGATTGAGTCGCTGGGTTGAACAGACGCACGTTGCAATGCCCTAACAAGTGACCTGCCCTTTGGCTCTCATTGGTGGATATGTATCTCTTTATGTTTGTATACATACCGATATATGTATATATTTAGTTACCGGTGCCTGAGTTGCCATGGGTTCTTACCTGTGGCTTCCAGATTTTCATTATAAACAATGCGTGCACAGAACCGTTTCCACTGCCCTGCCTTCCCTCAAAGTAGTGTTCGTCTGTTTCAGACCCCGGTTGCAGCAGTTTGTGTACGCTACCGATAGCGCTGGCAAAACCGGTTGGCAGAGATTTCAAGAATATAAGAACTATACTTATATTGTTATTTCCCTTTGTTGTCTCCCTCTTTGGTTGTCTCTGTCTTTTCCTGTTGCTCATTTATTTCATGTCCTCTCCTTCTCGCTCTCTTTCGGTTTATATCCTCTTTTATTTCTCTTTCTCTGTCTCTTTTTTCCTCTTTTTCGTCCTATTTCTCTTTCTTTTTCTTTTTTCTTTCTCTTTAAAGTTCTCCTGCCTTCTCTTTCTCTTGCACAAAGCATGCCTGTGTTGTGACCTTGTGATGTTTCACGTCGTGGACCTCTGCCCAATGCCATGAACCCGAACAAACGCCACAAGTCCCTCAGCCCGGGCAACCCATGCCCTGATTCTTGCCCAACTATCTCAACACTGTCTCAATTCGCGTCACCCCTTGAGTTTCTGGACCTTGAACTTCTTCGGACCATTTTAGTGGCAAATGAACATCTTGGACTTCTTGGGCAAATCCTCTCGATCGGAAGTGAGCGTCCGTAAGGACGTTTTTTCTAAACTTTCTTTGATGAGCTTCAGCTTTACCTTAAATCTTGGGCCGGCAGCTGGCTCAGGCGTGGGCTGCTCATGGGTTGCCGGTCACAGCCCCTGTAAAAGGAATTTCCGATACCTGCAGGGCGTGGTCATTTGCCTATTCTACAGACCTGCGCGGTAAAAGGAGCTCACTAACGAGGTAAGGAGTTTCCTTCTTGGAGCAAAGCCGTTTCTTCCGTCGGAAAGGAATGCACCGTTTTGATGGCTCGATGCTGACTGAAATCGTGGACCCCAGAAGCCCTACAAAAACCAAGGGTCTGCTTTGATTGCTCGAATTTTCTGAGACCGATGCAGGCATGGGAGAAAGCGGCCAATGACCAGTTACAGGGTTTTCTTGCATCTCCGCCAGAACTGAACTTGCTTCTTTGCCGCTGGCTCTGGCAGCCTACGGGAGTCTACTGCAACCGACGTTTTAGGCAGAAGCGTTGCAGCACACCATGACTCAGACATCCGCGGCGACTCAGACCAAGCCCGTAGCATGCTTCAAGTTTGAGTTGGTCAGAGCCTAGCTGTGCAAGATGCCTAGCTTTCTCATCATGCCGGCTGCCGTGCAGGCAGATTCGGAACTCGTGTTTGTGTCCATGATGTGTGTGTGTGTGTGTGTGTGTGTGTGTGTGTGTGTGTGTGTGTGTGTGTGTGTGTGTGTGTGTGTGTGTGTGTGTGTGTGTGTGTGTGTGTGTGTGTGTGTGTGTGTGTGTGTGTGTGTGTGTGTGTGTGTGTGTGTGTGTGTGTGTGTGTGTGTGTGTGTGTGTGTGTGTGTGTGCGTGCGGCGTGCGTGTGTGCGTGCGCATGTGTATGTCCACGTGCGTATGTTTTGTGTCTTCTCTCTTCTTCTTTTTTTGTGTGTGTTTGTTTGTGTGTCTCTGTGTGTGTGTGTCTGCGTGTGTTTGTGTGTGTGTCTGTGTGCGCGACAGTGTTTATGTTTGCGCAAGTGTTCTTTTAGTGTTCGTTGTGTCTGTGTTTGTGTGTGTGTGCGCGTGTGTGTTCGTGTCTTGCGTCAATGTCCTTGTGTGGTCATGTGCCTGCCCCTGGTCTATGTGCCTCTGTGTGTGTGTGTGTTCATTTGTGTGTCCCTTATGGATTGCAACGTCCTCGGGGGAAAAAAAAAAAAAACAGCAGAGGGTTTTTCGCTTTCCATGCGGCAATGTTCGTCCATAAGGACCGCATGGGGTCGCAATATTGCCACCAATCTTCTAAGCATGGCACACTTGCATGTCAGCAGCTCGCTGTGACTCATTGCAATGAAATGAATAATTAGAATGGGATTGCGTGGTACTTACAGCCATATTTAGTGATCATGTGAGTTAAGTTATCTCTGTTGTGTGGGGCTTTATGGATCAACGCCAACAGCACCATCTGGGAGAATGCGTGGAACAAGGCGAAGGGAATCTCTCACTACCGAACATGTGTTTGTCCCAGAAGGCTTCAGCAAATGAAGGTAACTTGTTCGCTCGCAGGCCCCCGCAAACAGGATCGCGGGCATGGCGCAGACCCCGGAGGCGATCCCACGGGTGGGTTTGCTCCACTTTCTTCTGTTTGGCATTTTCCGGAATGTTTTTGAGAGTACCCTTTGCAGGTTGTTTTTGCAATAAACCAAAAGGAAAGCAAGTTGGGACCCGCTTCCCCTTACATATCTGATGGGTGAAAGCGCGGGTTTGAACACCATGTTAACACTCAATGGATCAACGGAGGTTAGGTTTGATACTGGAATCCAACACAATAATATTGGTAAAGGATGGGAATTATACGTTTTCCGGCAATGATTCAAAGTGCCACAATGTCATGCATGAACACAAACCCAACGGCGCTCGTGTGCATGTGCCTTGCACAGTGATCGCTTGTTCCATGTTTGCATAAGCCATTGTGGGAATGTCTCAAAATGGTGGACCCCGTGTTAGGTGGTATTTAAGCCTAGAACAAAGGGGCACCAGCCATTGTTGGAACCCCTGTTTTGAGAAACACCCTTGTTTTCACAACCTGAAAACTATCTCGATGCTAAGGTGGGAATCTTGGATGTTGAAGCAAAGTGAGTTGGTTCAAGGCTTAGACTTTTATGCACGGACCAATCAGAAGATGGGTGTGGCTCGAATTCTGGGGATTCCATTTGGGAACGTGAATGGACAAGACTACCTGCGATCCCATGAAAAACCCACGACATGGTAATAATAAGTAGAAATATGGGTATGGGTCAAAATTAACCCACTAGGAATTGGACCGCAGGTTTTGGTGCATGTTTGCATTTACCAGGGTTCCATTCAGCGTACCTATTTTTGACCCACAGCCATATGAGGGTGAATCAAAATAGAGAGGTCGGCGCTGACTTTGCAGACGAAAGACTGCCAGAGAGCAAATGGGTCAGAAGCCATGATTAACATTCCATGGTTTGCGCAGATTGTGCAAATGACAAAATGCCACACAGTAACCAAACCAGTGTTTTTGCGGGAAACTCAGCGCTCACAGCGCTGCCCCTGCTCAAAATATGGAGGTTGTTTAGTTCTTTTCTTTACCACCCCGAAATGGTACCCCGAAACAACACAAACCCATATAGGTCTTTTCTTTACCACCCCGAAAGGGTACCCCGACACAACACAAGCCCATATAGGTTGAGCATCCAAGGGCGCACCAGTTCGCTCGCTGCGAGGCCTTCCGGGCATCTTCTTTGCCAAGGCAAGCCTCGAGCGGCGTTTTCCGGGAAGTTCCCGCGATGGATGAGCAGTCCCCAGGAGTTTTATTTGTGAACCGGAATAGCATGTAAGTATGGCTTGCCATATTGATTATTAATTTGGCCGTGACTTTTGAGATCTTTTAGTGAATCTCAAAAGTGGGTGATGGACATGAATCCACACCTAAATGAAGTTCACCCAAGAAGCCCTGATTTGATTTCATGCTCTACTGTTATCTACAGAGGGGATGACATTGGATACACCAAGTTGCCATTAATGGGGGTCACCAGAGTCGCACGGGAGAATGAAAATCGACTGTGGCTCATGTAACATGTCCCTGTCAAAACAAACTTGTCAATGGACATGTGATCATTTTCTCGTGCTCCCAATGTTTGTGTGTTGGGGAACTATTTGATCCTGCTGTTTGTTTGGTGAGTTGACTTGGCTGAAAATGGTTTTCCGTTTTGAATTGAGCGATTACTTAAGTTTGCCACCTTTCGCCCAGATGTAGCCGCTAATGAGTGCTCGGTGTTCGGTTCTATAGATAGCAGGCAGGGTCAATCCAGGCAATGCGGATCCCCAAGGTGGATGCCCCTTGACGGTGGTTCTGTTTATTGTTGTGTTGTTTTGTTTTCCGTGTGTGTTTGTCAGTGTGAGTGTGAGCATCAGTATCAGTGTTCTGTGAGGTCTCCAGAGCTTGTGCTTGAGTTGTGCTATCCCAGGCAGGCATAAAAAGTGTGGAAACAACCAGGTCTTGCGACCCTAAAAGAAGGATTTTGGAACAATGGTTGAAGCCATGGCCAAACACGAGGGGAAAAAGGGGTTGGAAGCCTGAAGATGCCAAACATAATGCTACAAATGCGTGACACACGCCTAACAATGCCAACCACTCCTAAGATAATGCAACAAAGCCTGCACATGCATGAACATGCTGAATTGCCCATTCCCTCACGGTGGTCTTCCCGCGGTCAAAAGAAGCGAGGAACAGCATGAGGGAAAGGGAGGAGATGGTGGCAGGTGAGGTGGATGAAGGAAGAACAGACGCCTAACATCCACCATCTTTTAACCATTTTCTCTGTCCTATTCTCTTCCTTCTCCAAGCTATCATTAAGACCCAAGACTGATAGGTGCAAGCGCCAACCCACGTGTTCAGGCCCTGGTCGACCCCTATGAAACCCAAGATGGACTGGGAATGAAAGGAAGAGATAGACAGGTCCAGAGGCGAAGAGATGCAGAAAGGAAATGAGTTGGGGCACAGACAGAAAGGAACTGGAACCCCAACTCACCTTCCTTCCCCCACCACCCACCACCCACCTCTCCAATTACCTGGCATGCGATTCCAAGAGCTGACAGGTGGTGAAGAGAGGACATCCTACATCCATTATGTTTGCTCCCAACAAAGACTTCGGAAACGAATACAGGTAGGTTGCAAAGGCTGTAAAGAAAAGGAATAGGTAAATAGTACAGAGAAACGGTTAATCCTCCAGTCGACAGATAAAGGACTGGGAAATAAGCTTCTTTCATCTCTATCGTGCACCTTTTGGTCTAAGGTAGGATGGGAGCTGGAAGGATGTACCCGGAGTCTCCGTGACCCTTAAAAAGTGAGGTCATTACCCAACATAATCGGGCCATGGACCATTTTTAAAGGGTCACAAGGACTCCAGGTAGAGTGTTTACTGTCATGGCATTCCCTCACTGGCTCGCAGTTCTGATTTTGTCGGTTCCAGGTGCCAGCTGCCCCGCAGCCGCGTGGCGCGCGGCTCCTTTTTTCGCCGGGCACCGGACCAAGCGGAAATGGGTCAGGATGCTAGTGGCTACCAGTGCTTCCACTAGAAATATTGCTGGTGCGATAGGCAGGGAACAGGGAATGAGAATTGGAATGACCCGTATACACCATCCAACTGGTGGTTTCCTTTCAGGGTTCGTTCCCTCATTGCCTACCTATCGCACCAACAACACAAGTGATGCATCTTTAGACTTTATCTTTTTGGAGGCATTCATTTGGGTTTTCCGACCCACAAATTCACAAAGTCTTTGAGGGGTAGCAAGAAGAGCAGGGTGTCTTGGCTTCCCTGGCCTCGTAGAGCTGGGAGCACTGAGGGTGGCGAAAGCACGGCATGCCCGGCATGAGCTCATTTGATGGGCTCGGAGTGCGGAGAACCTCCGGACAAATCCGAAGTCATTGAGACGTCACGTTCGCAGCTCGCTAAAAAAAACAACTCCGAGCCACAAGCCACAAGGGCTACTTCAATGGACAGGAGTTTTTCTTCCAGTGCCGGGAGCTTGCCACAAGTGCTGGAAGAACTGGTTGGACGGTTCGAACTGTTGGCAACGAAGTTCCGCTGGCAATTCCGATCGAAATTCCGATCCTAAATGTCTTTGCAAAAGGTCCAAATCGGCCAAAGAATGATCTACGGTTCTCCTTTGGGTTTCCCATGGCTGAAACGGGTACCAACTCCAACATCGCCACACCTGGAGTCTCCTAGCTTCACTTCTGGCCATCCCATAGACCTTTGACCCTCCAGCTCAACTTCTGGCCAGCTCCCCTTCCCATAGGACCCTTTGACCCCTTTGACCCAACCCAGGCGCCACCGCCCCCGCCGCCCTTTTGGAAGCAGCCCCGGACCTGGGCTGCGCTGGCCCTCACGGCGCTGGCCCCAACTCGGTGGGTTGACGGAAAAAGTGGCAAGCCGAAGCCACGGTGCCGAGCTTTGGTTCTTTTCAGCTACCTGGAGTCTCCAAAAATGGTTGGTCATTACCCAAAGTCATGGGGTGGACCCATTTTTTAAGGGTCATGGAGACTCCAGGTGTGCAAAAGACCCCTTTGGAGACAGCGCAGAGGTTCCGGGCCAATGGAATTTCCGGTGACACGGGATATTGGCCTGCCTGGTGCGAAGATGTTCTCCATCCAAATATCGTTGAATCTTGAGGCAGCAAAACAAGAGGCCTTCTGGTTCCATATTCTAAGGCGCGTCGGTCACGGGCTCTGTAAAAGCGTTGGAATTTCCCCCCTGCAGGACGCCTTCATGTGCGAAAATGCTTTGTAGACGTGTACAACGAGCTCAGCGATGAGGGTCCTCAACAAGGGGTTCCCTTCTTGCCGGTTGGGGAATGGAAACGCCGGGTCCGATGGCTTCATGTCTTGAAATCGCGGCAACGCTTTAATATTTTCAGATACGGACAATTCTGCCCACCCCCACTTTTAATCAACCAGGGATCATTGATTCTGGATCATCATTGCCTTTCAGGATGGTTTTGTAACATTTGGGTGAAATGGCGGAATTGCAATCACCTCATCGCTCCCTGAGTTCCTGGACTTAATACGTGGGGTCTTGGGGTTGGCGATTTTGGCTTCATGGCCATTTCGCGCCGGATCTTTGGACTTTATCTTTTGCTTGAAACAGCCGGGATCTTCCGAATCGGACCCCCACAAAGGCTGAAAAAGCTCTTTGAGGGGTCTCACCACCCCCTTGGGCACGAGGTGGTGGCAGCGCTGTGCGCGCGGTTCCTGTACCGGCAGTCCCGCAAAGAGTCCAAGAAGAAGATGCCCGGCGCCACAGCGAGCAGAGCTTTGGGGTCCGGCGGTGGGATTCGGATTTGGAATTTCTGGTGGGAAACCACAAGGAAACCAACTGGTAGAGGGCCGCTTCGAGAAACACCCATCTTGCAGATTGCTCAGGGTTGGGTGTTTGCTTTGGGCTTTTGCGTGGGGTTACGTTAAATTCGAGTAAAAAAAGGAATCCTCGAAAAGAGAGGCGCCTTCTTTGGGGAACACACCAAAACTACAGGGTTTCCCATATAGTTTTCCATTGAAGCAAGATGAAGCGACATCGTATCGGGACCAAAGGGACCAAAGAACGAACACACCAGGCCTTGTATTTATTGATTCTTGATGCATGTGAGTATAAGCCATCTTCTTGCTTGGTTCTCCAGGTCAATTGTGTGTGTGTGTGTCCCTGCGCATTTTGTTCCGTGGAAACTGTTGAAACAAGTTGACTGAACTGGTGGCACTCAGCCACTGGCAAGGTCCGAATCTTCTTCATGCGATGGCAACAGGATGCGACTCTAATGCTCCCCTTCCATGGCCATTGGAAGCGGACGCATGGAATGTGGGTGTCAAAGACGTTTTTTACTTGATAGATGGTCACTCGGTTTGAACCTCATGGCCCATCCCATGGCTCTGTATCGGAAAATCCCCATGGCTCCATAGATCGCGATTTGTGACTCTGAGTGTCAGGGAACATGCTGGGACATCCCATGTCCGAATGCCGAATTGAGGAATTGGTTGATGTTCACTGGGGGTACGATTTTGGATTTTGACACATGGCCATATAGATTCTGGATTAGGATTGGCCAACACTCGATTTTGAGCAGCCCAGATTTGGATCAGAAAGAACTTGGCTGAGAGGTCCATGGCGGAGATGTACTTCCAACTGGAGAAGAGCCCGTCCCGCCCAGCAAGCCGCGAAAGGGGCTTGCAGTTTTCTGTGCCCAACTTCTTCTTTTTTTTTTGCGGGGTGCAGAGAGACAAAGACTTGTCTGGATGTGTGTCTTTCTGGAGGGCGCCCGAGAAATGGGGCGGTTCAAGAGACATGAAGGGAACTTCTTCTTCTCTTTTTGCGTGGGAAATGGCAGGGGGGCGATGTGAACACGTACCCAACTGGGAAAACCGTTTTGTGACTACCCTTCCTGACAAGGGGATGTGCTGAAATGCGGAGGGCACCCTCCTAAAGGGAAACCAGCCGGAAAAGCCGCCATCTCGGGATTCCCTTGTTTTCACACGGCCTGGGAGGGTATGTGGATGAGTTGTTTGTTGCTTGGGGCGTTCAGGTTCCATCCCCTGCAAGTCGCTGGTTTTCGCCCCGGAAGATCATCTTCCAAACCCTGAAGATCATCCAGCGGCACCTTTTGTTCGTTGGGATCGGTTGGAGAATCCCCGTAGGTTTAAACGCCGCGATCCAAACTTTGCCGAAGGCAGCTGTTTGGCGGTTTGGTCGAGGTGCACTGGAGGCCAATTTGGCAGAGGTTTGATCTATAGGATCGATGCTAATTGCTGATGCTTGTGGTGCTTGTCATGGATTCCGGGGCAGTCCTGTTGCTGGTGGCTGCCACTTGCTTTTCCAAATCATTTGGTCTTATGTCCCTGCATGGGCCATACCTTTTGGGCGTGTCTTAAATAGGGGACCCCAAAAAGAAGTTAGTTTCCAAACCAAATAGACATCCATTTGTTAGTTGGCAGCCAGGTGTACTTTCATCTGTTGGTTTGAGCAAATGTGAAATGTGAGCCATTTGCCCTGCCAAAATGGGTGCTGGCTCGCTCCTTCTCGCCAAGAGATGTGTTGAACGGAGGTTGCGGAACTTTTCAAGATGAGATCTGGGGTTGTTTGAGGGTACCGGTTGTTTGGCTTTTCTTGGAATCCAAGATGCGCAGTGCTCTCTCAAGGTTTGGGGTTGTTTGAGAGAAAGCATACCCATGCCATGGGCAAGGCAAAGCGCCATCTGATTTTGATATCGCGACTTGTTTTTTGTCGAATGTCTTAGGCCCTTGTTTCACGAAGCTCCTTTCGTGGCTGAGATTCGTGGTTCAGTGGCACTACTCCTTTCCTGACGACATGGAACAAGGGGATTGCTGGACTGGGGTTTTTACCTGGAGTCTCCGGATCTGACCCTTAAAAAATGGGTCCATGACGAAAATGGGTCTCCATCACCCTTAAAACGATGGGTGGTCCTTACCCAAAATCATGGTTGGTCATTGCCCAAAATAATGGTTGGTCACTACCCAAAAGAATGGTTGGTCATTGCCCAAAAGAATGGTTGGTCATGGACCCAGTTTTGATTCGGGTCAGCTCCGGAGACTTCAGCAACACGCTTGCGTGGTACCTTTCGGGTCACTGGCGCATTCGAGGTGCGCTGGCAGGCGCTACGCAGACTGCTCAGGGGACTGAAGTGCCTGGTGTGGTTGGCATTTGGGGTGCCCAATTGACAACCCTTGGAGGGTGGTCCTTGGGTTTTCGTGTGACCACAGGCGATTTGTGGATCCAAAGTGTTTTCAGACCACCAAAATAGTGGAATCTTGGGACTCTCAGCTGACATGAACATTGGGAGTTCACTTGCACTGTGAAGCGTGACTCGACTGTGCAAGGTCTGGGACGGTCAGAAGCTGAGCAGTTAGCCAGTCAGCCGTTGCTGACTTGAAGCGTTTGCGCAAACATGACGGTCACATATTTGTTCTGCATGGTTGCCGTTTTTGGGTAGAGATTGGTAGGACTTTGTTCTGATATAGATATAGAGCCGTTGCCTTCTTTCGTTTCTGCTGATTTGTTTGTCGCTGCCATCATTGCAGCCTTTAGCCGAGGACAAGGAGGAGAAGGCGGTGTCGACCAAGCCGCCGTCAACTCCGCCACCACCGGCTGCAACCCCACCGCCACCAGTGACCACACCACCACCAGCAGCTACAACAACCCCGCCGCCACCAGCAACACCGCCGCCATCAGCCGCAAAGCCGCCACCACCAGCGACAGCACCACCACCATCAGAGGAGAAGCCACCACCAGCAACAACACCACCACCACCGGCGGCAAAGCCACCCCCTCCAGCAACAACACCACCCCCATCGGCTGCAACGCCACCCCCTCCAGCGACAACACCACCACCACCGGCGGCAAAGCCACCCCCTCCAGCAACAACATCACCCCCATCGGCGGCAAAGCCACCACCACCAGCGACAACACCACAGCCATCAGCGGCAAAGCCACCCCCGCCAGCGACAACACCACCGCCATCAGCGGCAAAGCCACCCCCTCCAGCGACAACACCACCCCCATCAGTGGCAAAGACACCCCCTCCGGCGACCACGCCACCCCCATCAGCGGCAAAGGCACCACCAGCAGCGACGACACCACCGCCATCAGCGGCAAAGCCACCACCAGCAGCGACGACACCACCGCCATCAGCGGCAAAGCCACCACCACCTGCAAAGTCACCACCTGCGTCAGCGGAAAAGACTGAAGCAAAGGCAAAACCAGCTAAGAAGGAGGCCCCAGTTCCCGACAAGCCAAAGGCGGAAGCAGGGACGAAAGCTGAAACGAAGGCTAGCTCAAAGGACGAGGCGAGGCCAGACGCATCGCAAACCGTACTCGGTATCCTTTCATGCTTGTTTGACGAATTGTTTAGATTTGAAGCCATCAGCTTTGGGGGCCTTTTCACTTAGTTGACTGTCTTGGAAGTACTTCAAATGCGACACCCCGGTGTGCCCTCTGCAACTAGTTGAGAATTCGTCGCAGTGCTCTTGCAAGCAGCAGAACAGCGCCGGTTTCCAGCCGTGAGTTGCAAGTGCCAAGGCACTTGCATGGAGACACAGATTGCACATGACTGAAGGCAGATGTGATACTCATGGAGTACCTTCGTCAGACAAAGGCCACTACACACACTGGGCATGACCTCTTAGGTCTAAAGTGTCATGGGAAGAGTTGCATGTCGGCTTGCTATGCCAAGAATCTTAGAAGCATTTTTCAGTCCACCTGTGCCCTTTCGGTACCTCCAATAGAAACACCAAACCTGACACCCCCCAGATCCAAAACCGGGACCCAAACCCCAAACCGGCACCTGCGGCCTTTTCCTTGGGTTGCAGTTCCTTCGGCAAGGGGTCCACGATGTTGATCTCTAAACCTCACGGTTCTCCTCCAAAACGAATCGTTTGGCTTCAGATTTTCCGCGGTTTTTCTCCCTTTTCGTGGGCCCAGACACCTCCCATAAGCCATTTTTTCGGAGCGGGCTCCAGGAGAAGAAGGGCTTCGGCTGGCTGCTGAACAGGCAGCGAGAAGTTGGGTCCTGCCTTGGGTACCCTCCAGACGACTCCATGGAAGCTCCCAGGAGCTTTTGCCATCCTGTTGGGAATGCTAAGAATAATGAGAAGATTGATGGTAAGCAGATAAATAGCAAATGTGAAGACTTAGTTCCATTTACCAAGGCCTCCTGGGAGCTTCCATGCTAGTCTGAGGGAGTGTATTGGGAGTCACGGCCTGGACTTTCTCGCGGTAGGTTCCGTGAAAAACATCTCTGTTTGCAGGGAACCTTTGTTGGGGAGGGAAAGCAAAGGGACACCCCACCTTTGTTTTGTTTTTTTTGTCGGGGTACCCGGGTACCCCGAATGGTTTGGATACCCATAAAGGCCAAGCAGCCTCTCCAAGGTGCATGCGATGCAAAGTGTCATGAGATGAGCGACGAAACGACCTCCTTACCCAGATTGACCACGCCTGGACGTCAACGTCCCATGTGAACTCCCGGTTCAACTTGCCCCCATTAGAACAGAAAAGTAAGGACCCAGTTTGGATGACCATCCTCAGTGGAACTTTTTTATGAGCCCAATGGTTTTTAGTGGCCGGCAACTAAACTGCCGGGACTTGGGATCTTGGGATCTGCGAGGTTTGGTCTTGTGCAGTGATGGTTCTGCACGGATTGGTTTCAGCGAAACGGGCAAACAGACATTGCCCGGTCGAGACGAGTCATAGCCGATGGACAAAAAACTTCAATCTCCGCATCTATAACGATCAACATATTCCAGGTGCGGACTTGCCATGGTGTGCTTGGAACACGTCTAGCCGGTCACAATTGATGCATGAAGCCCACAAGAGAGCCGCGTGTACATTCCATCCAGATCAGCACGTGTTGCACCCAAGAAGCGACAGTCGTCGGTCTTGCCCTGTTGGCCAAATGGCTGGGGCTCAAAAAACCGGAATTCCAAAATGGAACCCTGGTAAGTGGAAACATGGACCACAACCTGCGGTTTGCCCCTCCCCTTTAATTTTGAGCCACACCCAAATGACTGTAAATTCTTCACAGCTTCCCAGTCCAGTTGCACCCTTTGTCCTTTGGCTTTCGTAGGCTCTCCACTAAGAAAAGCCAACCTCAAATCGAGGGTCCCTGTTTATTGTTTTTGTGTTTGTTTTGTTTTTACCTGGGGCACAGGTTGCAACTCGCCTCGGTGGCTGCTCCTCTCTAGGGGGGACAGGTCACTGGGTGCAACTGGGCCTTGGGGCAAGTGCTCAACGTGTCCGCATCAGGAACAAGGCGGCTGCGGCCCGGAATCCCAGCGAAGTTATATAGTTTTTTGGAGATCCCACTGGAATGTTTGGGGGCAGGTGGGCTTTGAATCGCGAGAATACGCAGAGGTGATTTTGTTTGGGGCTGGGCGGTGATCACAACCTGAGCAAACAAAAATACGAAGGCTTCTGGCACTGAGGCACCAGCTCTAGCCGAGCTGCTCAAGGAGGAGGATGCAGAGCTTTTCGGCTGCAGCTCAGTAGGGCACATGGGACAACCCTTCGTCACCAGCCGTTTCTTGATGCTTGAAGGCAATTTTACACCAAGCCCAAGATCTCCAGATATTGAGCTTTGCTCAACAGAGCACTTTTCGATCCAATTCCCCACCATGTAGGCCAGCTTGGATTCCTCGAACAGGACCCCATTCGGTATCCATGTCATTTCTTGCAGATGTATTTGTCCGTGTTCGTCCACCAAACGAAACGGGGGCCTGGTGCCCATGTGTTGCTCGTTGTTTTTGTTTTTTTTTGTTTGGCCTTTTGGCCAGGATGAAAGCGCCCACCAAACGACAACGCCGGCCGGGCAAGTTGGAAGTCAGGGCGAAGTTCTACCGAGCGGTGGCCAGCGAGCTTTGTGGCGCCCCTAGGAGTGGCATGGAGCATGATGTCCGGCATGGCGGGTGTCGAAGAAACACAAACAGTAAAAAAGAGAAGGATGAGGGAAGATCCGTTGTTGTGTTTTTTTTGTGGGGGGGGAGGTTTTCTTCGCGAAACCGGGGGAAAGGAACATCTTTCAGATTTGGGAGGGGTTGAGGAGCAAGTGACGCAGAGGTTCCTGGCATTCATGGGGGGGGGGCACGTTGAGGGGAAAAGGACATCCGATTTTGGAGGTTTGAGGGGCCATCCCCACATTGGGAGTGAGTGACTGGTTCCTGGCATTCAGAAGGGTGCCCATTTACAGGGGTGTTTGTCTTAGGCCCTTTTTGAGGATTTCGATGGAAACAAACAGGACACCAATCTTTTTGGGCCCCGATTTTGAGACAAAGCCAAAGTGAGTTTCCTGTGGATTGGGAGATGTTTGAAGGGGTCTGTTGCCAGTGGCGATGTGACTGGGGATGTGTCAAGGCAAGCTCGACCCGTTTTGTTTGCCCTGATCACGCCGCCAAGTTCTGAACAAGGGTCACGGTCCAATGCCTTGATTTGCATTGTTCGATGATGTTGCCACATGCAACGTGGCAGCTTCAAGTTCTGCCACTTTTGAGTGTCCTTTTGCTCAAGATGCCAGATGATAGTTTTTTTTTGCACTGTGCTGAATTGTTTGGAGAGGCCCATATGTTTGACACCATTCCAAGGGCTCAAAGGCCAGAAGTTGAACTCGTATTTCTGGAATCACAGCCCTTTTGGTCCTTCGCAGGAAACATGCATTCGAACAGCAAACCAGCCATGCATTCGATCGTGTGCGAGTCCGTTGGGTGTTTCTGTCACAATCGAACTTACATAGGTTGCCTCCGAGCTGGGCATGACTTGCAGGCATCCATCTCGGTGTGACAGCTGATAAACAAGTCAATGTCAATGCGTTTTTGTTCAAGGTCTCAGCAGGCAGTAAGCTGGCAGCCCTGTTTTGCCAAGGCCTAGAAAAGACCAACCTGAAGAAATCAGTGCACAAGGGTTCCACCTTTTGGGGGTAAGGGTAGAGCAGCTGGGCCCTTGATAGAGCGGTGGGGAGCAACGCGAGCAACCACGGGCAAATTGTGCAAGACATTCAGACCCAAGCCCCCTTGAAACTTGACTGCTATTGGGTTGGATTCTTTAGACTTTAACTTTTTGGGAAATCAAGGGTTTTCCACAACCCCCATTTGTTTTTACTTTTTGCAGGGGGGTCAGCAGCAACCAAGTAAAAAGGAACCTAAAGGAAGTTGTGCCTCAATCCTGATTCCGCTGATGATGAAGCATGGTGGTGGACCCACCTCGCCTCAAGGCGTCGACACCCCCGGCATCTTCGATGGCACTGAGGGCCTGACAGCAGCTTGTCTGCTACGCAAATGGCCACCTCACGAAGTGGTTACTATGAGCGATTTCCTGCAAAAGTTGGCATGGATGCACCCCTTTGAGTAAATTGCCTTGTCTAGCGTTTCCTGGATGAGTTATAGCTAAAATAATAGATAGAAATCATTCACAGGGGTTGTATAATAATCAAGCACTAATAAATATATTTAAATGTTTATTAAAAATAATTATAATTATAATAATAATAATATATATATATATATATTAAGGAATATACATATTAACTAATATATTTAATAAATATTTATTAAATAGTAATATTATATTAAATAATTTTGATGTGGCATGGACCACCTACGAATTACGAATGGCTCAGGATTTTCACTCTCCACAGTATGCGTGGGGCCTTTTTTTGGAGCACGAGAAAGGATAGGACTGCGGGCCATTTCCGGGCATCTCGTCCTTTCGGATCTCATGATAAACTTTCCCAGGGCAAGTGCTCTTCACATTGAGGGTGATTTTCCTTGAATGCTAAGACTGGATTTACCCAATGCCCAGGACATTTGAGCAGCGCCGAAATCCCCCAGCCGTTTTTATTAGTAAGACTGTTTTAGTATTCAGAGAGACCTCGGTAAAGCTTTATAACTAAAAAGGACCCCCAGAGTTAACGAGTTTGGGGCTCTCATTGTGGCGCCTTGCGGTCTTACGGAGTGGCTTCGCAGAGTTGGCATTTGCAAGTGACCGTGTTGGACTGATAGGAACCGGCGTTTCGAGTTGCCCGGAAGATAAAGGAAGCGCAGCTTGATCCAACCTGACCTTCTTGGCGTGTTTGTTTGTTTGTTTGTTTGTTTGTTTGTTTGTTTGTTTGTTTGTTTGTTTGTTTGTTTGTTTGTTTGTTTGTTTGTTTGTTTGTTGAAGTTAATGTGGCCATGTGGTGTATCAGTTTTGTGCACGGGGAAAGCAACTGATGTGTTTTCGTTGTGTGTTTCTGGAGAACCCCTCAAAAGGTGTTGTTATGCATAAATAGCAACCTAAATGATGTCCACAGGTTCCCCAATGAAAAATCATACCTTCCCATGGAGCCAATGCCGTTTGAATAGTTGGTAGCATGCAAAGCAAGGGTTCTTATTTCGTCACAGCTGGACTGCAACCCGATTCGCGGGTTGTCTCGGTGCTGCGGGATGCCTTTGGCTATAGGGATGGACAATTGGGGGGCGAGGTTGCCATCCCGATTGAGTCTTGTCGTCTCTAAGTGGAGCAACACCCCCCCCCCCCCCCACAAACAAACAACAAATAATAAGGAAGTGTCCCTTTGTTCCCCCGTTAAGCCACGCCAATGATATCTGCTCTCATTGGAGATGGAAGTCAGCACGTTGTTGTCGCCAGCCAGCCAGCCAACCAAGCAACCAACCAACCAAGCAACTAACCAACCAAGCGACCGACAAGATAAGCGTTGCAAGCAGCAATGTATATATATATATGTAGACATACACGCATGCTCACTCGTAGAACCCTGCAACATGGACTTCGGCTTAGTTTGCAACAATGGCGCCCTCAAACAGGCACCTCACAATGGGTGTGGCTTGTGTGTTTGAGGATATCCTTCAGGTTGGTTTGCAGGGAAACACAACCTCAAAAGGACGGTGGTTGCGACGCAAATCTGCCTTTCCTAGCTATTTGGCACCCCGGAACCCTCTCTTGGTTTGGTGGGTCCTTGTTTGGCGTACCGAAAGATGGCTTGCCCTGGCAAATGGAACGGACTAAAACCTGTGGTCTGATATAATTTGACCCATGCCCATATGTGTGGTTCCCTCTTTTTAAGGGAGCCCGTTTTGAGATTGGTAAGGGCCAAAGGAAAACCAACATTTGCGGGGGGGAGTGCCCCTATTTTTCCCATGGCCGTCAGGGATCGCCCAAGGAGGGGACCTCCCAAAGAGGGGACCCCTCGCCCCAAACCGGCCTGATGAGTCGCTTGTTTCGACCCGATTGGGGAATCGGCGCCGATTGGGTTAATTCCTCGAAAGTTCTTACTGGCGGGAGGGGGCGTGGGGAACCAGCCCGTAGCTCGACGAAGTTTTGTTCTTTTCTCTTTTTGCGCTTGGCTTCCCATGCCCGGGACTTCCCGAATCAGCGGCTGGCGTGCTGAGGCGGTGCCCTCCAGCGCCCGGGGCCCAGTGGAAGCAAAGCGAAGCTGTGGAAGTTGTGGAGTTCTGGTGGCGGAAACTTTGGAACTTGGGAGATTTGTTTAGTGGAAAGTTCTTTTTGGTGAAGGGGGGACATATGAGCCCAAGAGATGATCCCTTTTTTAGCCTGGACGTCCCGATGATTTATTTTGCACAGGCGTCTCTTATGCTTAGGCCTCGGCCACAGTGTTTGGTCAAGCTTAGGTCTGAAGTCTTAGGTCACGTCTGGGCTACCCTTTCTTGGATGAGGTTTGAAGCGTACTCTTTCCGGGCTAGGCGAGGTCTACAGGGGGACGTGTCAGTTTGTTTTTCATTCTGAGATCCAGGGGTGCTTGTACATACCCCTTTTACATACCCCTTGGACAAATGAACCCAAAAGGCCAGCTGATGTTCATATCCCTCTCCCCAAAAAGGGGTATATACGCCTTATAAACTGGGTTGTAAACCTCGCAAGCCAAGGGGTATGAACAGGGGTATGTGCTTCCACCCTTACATGAGAGGGTTTCAGCGGGGTTGCTGCGGTCCCTGCGTCTCACGTGAGTCTTGGCCGATAGCCATCCGGTTCCTGCGCTTTTTGTGCTTGGGTTCTCACTTTCCGACTTCCTGGACTTTAACGCTTTCCAGGAAGACCATGTTCGACTTTTAGCTCTGAAAACGGACAGGCAAGCGCTGGTAGATTACATGTGTTGGTGACTTGTTTTTGCCCCTTGACGTCAAGAGCTGCGAAAGAGATCAGATGTGTGTTGTTTTTCGGAGCACCTTGGATGCTTATGTTCACCAGTTTTCGTGGTTCTAGTGTTTGCAAGTTCACACAAAACGAGCTACATGGCACTTGTAGCTGGCCGTATGGTTTGCAAGACTAGGTGCGTCACGTGTGAAAGAGCTCGCGCTAGACATGGCGCATGCCATGTAAACTTGTCTATTGATCGTAGTTCTGGAACGGCACATGTACATTAACATATATACATATACACACATGCAGATTGTACAAACATGCATGCATACAGACAGACAGACAGACAGACAGACAGAGACAGACAGTCAGAGACAGACAGAGACAGACAGAGACAGACAGAGACAGACAGAGAGACAGACAGAGAGACCCGCAGGCAGGCAGACAGAGAGAGAGAGAGAGAGAGACAGACAACAGGCAGGCATGCATAAATGCATACAAACAAACAAACATACATACATACGTACATACGTTCTGACATACATTATTACATACATACATTATTACATACATACATACATACATACATACATACATACATGCATACATACATACATACATACATACAATCTTACATTCTTACATACATACATACATACAATCTTACATTCTTACATACATACATACATACATTCATACATACATACATACATACATTCTTACATACATACATACATACATACATACATACATACAATCTTACATTCTTACATACATACATACATACAATCTTACATTCTTACATACATACATACATACATTCTTACATACATACATACATTCTTACATACATACATACATACAATCTTACATTCTTACATACATACATACATACAATCTTACATTCTTACATACATACATACATACATTCATACATACATACATACATACATTCTTACATACATACATACATACATACATACATACATACATACAATCTTACATTCTTACATACATACATACATACATACAATCTTACATTCTTACATACATACATACATTCATACATACATACATACATACATACATTCTTACATACATACATACATACATTCCTACATACATACATAAAATCTTACATTATTACATACATACAAACATAAATACATTCTTACATACATTCATACACACATACATACAATCTTGCATACATACATTCTTACATACATCCATACATACATACATACATTCTTACATACATACCTTTTTACATACATTCATACATACATACATACATTCTTACATACATACATACATACATTCATCCGTACATACATACATTATTACATACATACATACATACATACATACATACATACATACATACATACATACATACAATCTTACAGTCTTACATACATGCATACATACATTCTTGAATACATTCATACACACATACATACATTCTTACATACATACATTCTTACATACATTCATACATACATACATTCTTGCATACATACATTCATACATACATTCATACATACATTCGTACATACATATATACATACATACATTCATACATACATACATACATACATTCTTACATACATACATACATGCATACATACAATCTTACATTCTTACATACATACATACATTCTTATATACATACATTTTTACATACATTCATACATACATACATTCTTACATACATACATACATACATTCATCCGTACATACATACATTCTTACATACGTACATACCTACATACATACATACATTCTTACATACATACATACATACATGCATACATACATACATACATTCTTACATACATACATGCATTCTTACATACATGCATACATACATACATACATTCTTACATACATACATACATACATTCTTACATACATTCATACATGCATACATAGAATTATACATCATACATTCTTACATACATACATGCATTCTTACATACATGCATACATACATACATAC